ATTTGCATTAAGCGTAAACGACAAAGAATCGAAATTGCGGGAATGTAAATGACAGGAAATCGAGATTACATAAATGTAAATAGCAAAAAACATAGATGCATAATCTTAAATAGTCAAATAACAAGGAATCGAAAGTACATGAACTTAAAGTTGCTTGAACGTAAACTGCATCAAAGTAAATAACATAAACATAAATTACCAGGGAAAGTAAAGAAAGCGATAAAGGCAGTCAATGAAAATGGAAATCCAGATCGCCAGAAACTTCATGATTGTGTCGTTCTCCTGTAGACTTCTCACTAGTATTTCTGTTCTCTCTGCCAATTCCCCCCTCTCCTTTCCAGTCTTCGCTCTATTTATAGAGCATCCTTCAAGTGACCTCCCAAGAGTGGTTAATACCACTATCACCACGATCTTACGTGCCTGTTCCTTTAGTCTTATCATTTTAAAACTGCACTCCACGTTCATACGTATAAGGGAACTGCTCCTCCTTCGATTTCTGTCGCGGTTTAAAAACTGTTTCCCATGTTCCCTGTGTGTTAACCGCTCCCTCGATTTCGATTTCAGACATCGAGTATTCGAAATTTTGCTATTGATTCCCTTTAATTTTGTACTATTCTAACTTCGACAATAGGCATCGAAAGTTGTTTCTTCGATTCTCGATTTTGATTCTCGATGTACTTTTATCTTTGTGGTTACCAGCTTTTACCAATTTCATCGAAAATGCGTTCTCGATATCTCTTACCAATCGTATGGTTTTCGATTTTTTCTTTCCTTCGTTTTTCGATCCCTTTATCGATTTTTCCATTAACACGTATATTATAAATTAGTTAAAATAAAATATTATTTTAAATCATTTTATTACTTAAAAAACAAGGATGAGAACATATAATAATTCTCCTACTTTTATTTTTGAATGAATTTGTTTTAGAATAATTTAAATTTCAAATCATTATATATATAATGAAAATTAATTAATGAATATAACTTAAAAGCTTAAATTTTAAAAATATAGTTTTTATTTAAAAATCTTTTTAAAAATTATTTTTATATAAATATATTATATATTTTAATCAAATCAAAATTGATTGACTTATACTAGGTTACTATATTAAAAATTTTAATATTTTTTAAAATATAAGATGAGGCAGACAATCACTATTTTTTTTCCTTCACTCGTAAGGTTGATCATGTCTCCATTTTGACGATCCTAATATTTGATATTTAATTTAAACATTATAAAAAAATTGGTCATAATTAAATTGAGTCCACTCATTATCTAATATCTAATAAATCTGGTCAGAATCTAATAATATATATACATATATATATATATATATATATATATATTTTTTTTAAAAGTAACATCTAATTATATTATTCTAACAACTTTTTTTAATTAATTATAATTCAACTTGATCACTTTTTTTCCTTATATAGGATCGAAGCTAAAGCATATCTACCTTACCCTCGTGAGTTCTTATTTTTGTGTTGAGATTTGTTATTTGAACACAAAATATCTCATATTCTACTCACAAAAAATGAACCTACTTCATACCTCAAAGCCTCACGTTGTATGTGTACCATACCCAGCACAGGGCCATGTGAATCCCTTTATGCAATTTACCAAACTCCTCCATTGTATGGGTTTTCACATAACCTTTGTCAACACTGAGTTCAACCACAACCGTTTTGTTAGGGCCCATGGAGCAGACTTTGTTAAGGGTCTCCCAGATTTCATATTTGAGACCATACCCGATGGATTACCACCTACGGATAAGGATGCCACTCAGGATATTCCATCACTGTGTGATTCAATCAGAAAAAATTGTTATCGCCCTTTCAAAGAGTTGGTGTTAAAGCTAAACTCTTTAGATGCCGTGCCCCCAATTAGTTGCATAATTGCCGATGGAGTTATGGGCTTTGCTGGAAAAGTTGCAAAGGATTTGGGCATTCCAGAAGTTCAACTTTGGACAGCATCAGCGTGTGGCTTTGTGGGATACTTGCAATATGATGAACTGGTTCAAAGAGGTATCCTTCCATTCAAAGGTACAGTTTATGTCTCTGTTATTTCTTTCCTACGATTTTATAATTATGTAAATATCTATATTATTTCTTAACACCTATCATAACTTTTTATCGTATTATAACCCAATAAAAATTTATATTTTTATCTGTAGATGTCATTTAGGTTTATTTTGAGTGTCCATCTATTTATTTTTTCCCATAATTAAAAGCAGAAATATGGGGAACACTAATAAGAAAAACTTGTGTTTTGTAATAAATTCACCAAATATGACGCTTCTAGCTTTAGTTATCTTTTCAAATATGGTAGCTTCTTCTTCTTCTTTTTCAGATTTGGGAATATGTTCTTCTCTAAAGCAAAAAATACTATTATTAAATCATAGTTAGGTACTGCCACCAACTATAAGTCAAACTAGACAAAGACGTGATACTCGTCTCTCGATATTATCTGACTTTTGAATTAAAATGAGTTTTTACCTATCTGATTAATTTAATAATTTAATAAAACTTTAAATTTTGACAATTTTTTAAATTTATATTTATTTACCTATATATTCAATAATATGTTTTATGATTGTAAACATAAAAATGATAAGAACTAGTGATTATTAAAAAATTTTTGAAAACAAAATTAATTATTTGTCTACTCTGAACTCACCCAATATTCCAGTCACAACACACACACACACACTATATATATATATATATATATATATATATATATATATATATATATATATATATATATATATATATATATATATATATATATGCAAAAGCTAATATATTTAACAGCTAGATTATATTTATCATATTTTGTCTCTCGACTGAATTCAACAAATTAAAAAAAAATTGAAACATAATTAGAAAATTTTGTCTATTTAATATAACAGAAACATGACTTAATACATCTGAGAACGAAAATTGTATTGAAACATTATATTAATACACATAATGAATGAATTTAACTAAACTGTTTATTATAAAAGAAATTACGAGAAGATAATGAAAAAAAGTTGAAATATTTAAGTATTCCTTTTTCTTAGTTTTTAGTTAATTATTTTAGTTAGTGAATAAACCTAAGTGGTTGATTTTATTGTAAAAGGATTATTATTATTTTTTTAAAGTTAAAAGGAAAAATGAAAAGGATTTTAATAAAAGTTTGATAATACAAGATGCTTTAATTAAAGATAAGATAATACTGTAATATATATATATATATATATATATATATATATAAATGAGTTTAAAATTTATTTTATTAGATTAAGATGATGGTATATGATTAAATTAAATATTTTGTTATTTTTAATATTTTTATATTATTAATTTTTGATTTTATTTTTTCTATTTTCACGATTTTTTTTCATAGATATTTAGAAAACATATATGTATGATTTAAATACCTATTTTGTTTATGCTTATTTTTTATTTTAATTAATTAAATTACTTTATATTATATCTTCAATGAATATTTTAGCATTAAAATAAAAACAATTCAAATTGAATTTTAATATTTTTTTTCATTAAAGTGTAGAGTATTAGAAATGATAGAAAAAACTGTTTCCGAATCTTCCAGCTGTAGAACTGTTTCTGACCACTATTTTAATCAAAGTATCAGCATCGGTACATTCTCCAATCAAATAAATTGAAAAACAATAAAAATATTCAAATAAATAAATATAAAAGTGGTTTCTATAAAATATTTTATTCAAAGTATCTACTACTTACACTTCATCATCAAATCAATAAATTAAAATAAACAACAACACTAAACAAAAAAATAGTTTAGATGAAATAAAATAAAAATAAAAATAATTTTTTAGCACATATAAGTTTAAAATAAATGAAATGAATCTCACAAGTTTTGAGAAAATAAATAAAAAATAAAAACATGTTAACTGAAATTAATACCACCATTATTTAGCATTATAATAAAACATAAATTTAAGGTTCATTTCCAACCCTCATCCTCATCGTGTGAGAAGGGGATGATATATATATATATATATATATATATATATATATATATATATATATATATATATATATATATATATATATATATATATTGGTATCATCCAGGAAAATATAAAAATATCATATTTTAAATAAAAAGGTATTATGATTTATATAATTTAAAAATAGTAAGATATACGAGATAATAAAAAATATGGTAAGTAATTAGTAAAAAAAATATAATACATAATTAATAAATAAAAAATAAATACAGTAAATATTATTAAATTAATATATATATATATATATATATATATATATATATATATATAAATACTAATAAATTAAAATAAAAATTAAAATACATATTCACAACCATGTTTCAGCTAATATATATAAAATGATTAATAAGAAAACGATGAATACATAACTTAATACGTATGATTAATTACGACTAAGTCAACTTTTTCTAATCTATACTCTCATAAAAAATATAATTCTAGTTCTTATAAAAATTTAATGACATATTTGATAATTCCGTTGTTAAAAGTAAGAAAACTTACTCTAATTTTATAACTATTGATGGTAAATACTATATTTTCGTATGTAATAGTAATTTCAATTAATTACTTCATTATATAAGATATATTAATCGTAAAATTTAATCACAAGATTTTATTATTAATATTTTTTGTTATCATTAAATGATATATTAACATGGACTGAAATTACATAATTTTACATAAATAAAATCTAAGCATACGATTAAATTTTTATAGAAAAACAAATTGCACGTTCCCTTAGCAGGAGAACTTAAAATGAATTTAAGCCATCATATATATTATCTTTATCAGCATATTATGGTCTACTTTTGTGTACATCGCCATCAACATCTTCACCCAAACACATACCAAAGCCTCTCTCTCCACACAAACCTCTCCATCCTAGTGGGAAATTTCATCGTGTCTACTTTCTTCTTCCACCAAAACAATAGGGACACAAACACATACTTCCAATCTCTAATGGCTAACGCCACCAAGTACGTTCACATCAGTGATACCAACCTCTCTACAAACCTCGAGTCTCTCATTCATTCTCAAAACCAGAAAAACAATGGCTTTTCCGTACGCTTCCATACTTGTCCTCGTGGCTTTCACGGTTTTCTTAGCCTTGTCCGCTTCTCCAAACACTTCCTCTGGTTCACCAACATATTCTCTTCCACATCTCCACCCTAAATGGTTTCTACAAGCCGCAAATCCCTTCCATTTTCTCACTCCTTTTTCCAAACACTTCTTCATCCGCCAATTCCACTGATCTAGTGCTTAACAACACTACCACTTTTGTTAGATAAATGAAATTAATAGATGTACAAATTAAAATAGATGTTAAAGTAAAAAATTTATTTTAAGATTCCAATATTTATTAATTTAATTTTAATTATCAAATTGAACAGATATAGAGGAAATGATACATTAGAGAGATAAGGGGAAGAAAATAAGTTGATGTTATCATAGAGATATAAGGAAGAGAAAAATAGTGAAAACGATATAGGAGAAAGACAAGATCACACAGTGATTTATACTCGTTCGGGTATAATCAACCCTACATCTAGTTCCCAATCAACTCACACAGGAGTGACCCTAATTGACTATCTTTTAAATTAACACTATTACAGAAAACACTTTCTACGACAGCATCCAACGTCGGTTATCACGAAGACCGACGTTGTACAAGACGCGGTGGCAAACTTGTAATTATGAAACAAAATTTAACGTCGGTTATATAATAACCGACGTAGTAACTGCAATTCAACGTCGGTTATATGACAGACGACGTTAAATGTTTAAATTTAACGTCGGTTATGTATAACCGACGTTGAATTCCCAAAATCAACGTCGGTTACATGATTTACCTGACGTCGAAAGCGTTATCCACGTCGGGTTTTTTAATAACCGACGTTGAATGTCCTTTATACCTCTCCTCCTAGGCGCGCTGCCCCCTCATCTGCTTCTTCTTCGTCCCACATACTCCCTCCTTCTGCTTCTTCTTCACTGTGCCTCGGTCCTCACTGCGCCCCCTCGCCGCCCCTTCGCCGCCCACTCGCCGCTGCTACCTCATTCGCCGTGGTGCTGCGCCTCGGTCCTCATCTGCAGTGCTCCGCCCTCTCGCCGCCTTCGCCGCCCACTCGCCGCGCTCTCATCGGGTTAGATTAAGTTGTATGGATGATTTACAGGCATGCATTTAACATAAATATGGATTATTTAGAGCATTTCCTGCGTAGGAACATTAGAAAGATGATGGATGATTTTGTATATATTGTTTGATTTGATCTAGGTTCGTTTAGGTTTCGAAGTGGTATATGGAACATTAGGTTTCGTTTAGGTTTAGGTTTAGGTTTAGGTTTCGAAGTGGTATATGGAACATTAGAGCATGTATGGAACATTAGAGCATGTATGGAACATTAGAGCATGTATGGAACATTAGAGCATTGTTAGGCAATGTACACGCTTTTTTGTATTGTTTTGTTAAACCTTTTCTAATAAACCTTGAATATCTAGGCAAGCCTTTTTGTGTAGTTAGATGGATCGAACTTGGGTCAATGCAAGTCGTATGTCGAAGAGTATGAGAATGGAGTTGACTCCTTTTTGAAATTTGCTGAACAAAATGCTCCCAAAATGAATGGAAAAATCTATCGCCCATGCGTTAATTGTGTAAATGGCAGAGTACAAGAGATGGACACAACGCGGGAGCATCTTATTTGCGATGGGATGATGAAGAATTACACCATATGGACATGGCACGGTGAAGTGGTTGATATTCCAACAATATCACAAACTATTGAGGATGATGTAACCTGCGAAGATCGAATAGAGGACATGCTTTGTGATGTGGGTCAAGAGAGCTTTCTTGAAGCACATGCATCTATATATGATACATTGAGGACCGATTCAGAGACACCTTTGTATCCCGGATGTACAACTTTCACACGGTTGTCATCTGTGTTAAGATTGGTCAATCTAAAAGCAAAATTTGGTTGGAGTGATACAAGTTTTAATGAATTACTCCAACTTTTGAAGGAGATGCTCCCAGAACAATAACACCTTGCTTGGACCGTATGTATGAAGCGAAGAAGATACTATGTCCGATGGGTTTAGAATATAGGAAGATACATGCTTCCCCTAATGATTGTGTGTTATACAGGAAAGAATTCTCATCTTTAGACCAATGTCCAACATGTGGTGTATCACGTTACAAAACGAAGGATGGTGATGATTGTAGTCAGGAGAGTGGTAAAAAACGTCCTCCTGCAAAAGTTTTATGGTATCTTCCAATTATTCCAAGATTTAGGCGGTTGTACGCTCACGAAGATGCTTGAAAATTTAATTTGGCATTCAAAGAGAAAAACATGTGATGGGCAAATGCGACATCCATCCGACTCTCCCCAATGGAAGAATTTTGACCGTCTATTTCCAAGTTTTGGTAGTGATGCAAGAAACCTTAGACTTGGATTAGCAACAGATGGGATGAATCCTTTTGGAAATTTAACTAGTAACCATAGTTCATTGCCCGTTTTATTGATGATTTACAATCTTCCACCATGGTTATGCATGAAGCACAAATATGTCATGTTGTGTATGATGATTTCAGGTCCAAGACAGCCAGGAAATGACATATATGTGTATTTGAGTCCTTTGATAGAAGACTTAACACTATTATGGGAGGAAGGAGTAGATGCATTTGATGGGTATCGGCAGCGAAGTTCAAGTTGCATGCAATGTTATTTTGCACCATTAATGACTTCCCGCCTATGGAAACTTGAGTGGGTATAGTGTGAAGGGGCATTATGCTTGTCCTATTTGTGAAGAAGAGACCAGTTATATACAATTGAAACATGGAAAGAAGACAATTTATAACAGGCACAAAAAATTTCTCCCGCATGACCATCCATACCGTAGACTGAAGAAAGCTTTTAATGGCATATAGGAGGATGAAATTGCCAGAGAACCATTGACTGATTTAGAAGTTTACGATCGAGTGAAGAACATAAGCATTACATTTGGAAAGACCCAAAAAAGGTCTTCTGACAAGAACATGTGGAAGAAGAGATCAATTTTCTTTGATCTTCCATATTGGAGCCATTTAGAAGTACGACATTGTATTGATGTTATGCATGTGGAGAAGAATGTATGTGATAGTCTCATTGGCACATTGTTAAACATTCAAGGAAAGTCAAAGGATGGGATCAAAGCACGTCAAGACCTTTGTGAGATGGGAATACGTCCTGAATTACATCCAAGGCCTGAAGGCAATAGAACATATCTACCACCAGACATGTCACACCTTGTCAAAGAAGGAGAAACGTAGTTTATGTCATTGTCTTGCAAGTATTAAAGTGCCACAAGGATACTCTTCAAATATTAAGAGTCTTGTATCCATGAAAGATCTGAAGTTAATTGGATTAAAGTCCCATGATTGTCACGTTTTGATGCAACAGCTTGTTACCAGTGGCTATACGTAACATATTGCCTAAGAATGTTAGACATGCCATTATGCGACTATGTTTTTTCTTCAATTCTATTTGTGCCAAGGTTATCGATGAAAAATCACTAGATGAGTTGGAAAATGAGGCTACGGTTGTGCTATGTCAATTGGAGATGTATTTTCTTCCATCATTCTTTGATATAATGATTCACTTAATCGTTCATGTTGTGAGGGAGATACGAATTTGTGGGCCGGTTTATTTGAGGTGGATGTACCCAATTAAGCGATACATGAAGATCTTCAAAGGGTATTCTAAAAATCCATATAGACTTGAAGCTTCAATTGTTGAGCGGTATATTGCGAAGAAGCCATAGAATTTTGTTCGGATTACTTGGCAAGAGTCGTACACTGTGGGTGTACCTAGAAATCGTCATGATGATAGGCTAAATGGTAAGGGAACTCGTGGTATTAGAATTCAAACAAAAGATCATGTAGAGTTGACCACCGCCCACTTGTATATTTTGAACAATACGGAAGAGGTTATTCCTTACATAGATGCGCATAAAGCAATGTTAAAGGACCTAAACCCCAAAATGGGTGAAAGGTGGTTGATGAAAGAGCATAACAACAACTTTATCAATTGGTTTCAAAGCAAAATATTTTCAAGTGACAATGCCTCGATACACTCGAAATGGCTAGCACATGGGCCTAGATATAATGTTATAACTTGGCAAGGGTATGACATTAACAAATACTCATTTTATACGAAGGCACAAGATGACAAAAGTACGGTCCAGAATAGTGGAGTATCTATTGAGGCAACATCTATGCACTTTTCTAGTGCAAAGGACAAAAACCCCATCATGGCATCAATTAGTTACTTTGGAGTGATTGAGGAGATTTGGGAGGTCGACTATATTAAATTCAAAGTGCCTTTATTTAAATATAAATGGGTTGATAGCAATACTGGTGTCCAAAGAGACCAAATGGGATTTACTTTGATTGATATAAACAAGATTGGTCATAACGAAGAACCCTTCATAATGGCATACCAGGCAAAACAAGTGTTTTATGTCACTGATCCATCAAATGATAGGTGGTCGGTTGTCCTCAAAGGAAAAATGATTGATGTCACAAATGAGAATGGAGAAGAATTAGATGATTTTATTAACATTCAAAATTCACCACGGTTGCCTATTGCTATATCCCAATTGGAAGAGGACTTTGTTCATGCTACTCGCAATGACCATGATGAAGGCATATGGGAAAATATTAATACAATCTAAGTTATGTTTCTATTTATTTATTTTTTTAACATGTAATTGAGGAGACTTTGCATGTGTATTGATATAATTCTATGTTTTTTTCATTACAGGTAAATGGCATCTCCTCCACCATCTCCTCCACCATCTCCTCGGGCATCCGGAAAGACATTTTCCAGTAAGAGGAGTCGACAATCTACACGGTTGAAAGACTTGACCATTAGACACATATCCGGCCGAAGTTATCCGTTTCGTTGATCCTAGGATCGGCAAGGTCTCGGGTCCCTTCGATACCCAATTTAGTAGCTACTTGGGTACACTAGCTAGAGAGAAGGTATTTATTCTATTTCAAAGTTAATTTCATTTCAAATATATTGTTGATACTTATGTTGTTTATGTTGTGTAGATATCTATTCTCCATCCTACTTGGGATCATGTGGAGGAAACTGTGAAGAACTTGTTATGGCAAGATCTTCTTGTAAGTATGTGTATTTAGTTGTTTATATTGTTTATACATTATTATCAATTGGTTAACTAAAACTTGTTTGCTACTC